CTTTTTTGTTGTGGGCTTGTCAGTGCTGCAGCCGTCGTCGCCAGGCTCTTTGAGTCGCTCTGGTGCTGTGCTGTCAAAGCCAATCCCAATTTTATTCACACATTGTAATCTCTGTACACCCACCTAGATAAGAGAAGTTGGACATATCTTGTGTCCATATTTAGACTACTTTAATTTGTAAATTCAGTTTGGGTTTGCATTTCACTTCATCAACTTGGTATTCAATGGTTTAAACTACTAATCAAATTCTCCAATAATTTATCCTTCACGTGTTCCTTGATATCTTGTCTCCCTCCTATAGACTACTATCTTCTGTTATACCCAAGTTAGCACCCACCAACAATCTACACCATTGCTTTATTCCCCTCCCAACAATATGCAAAGGCTATTCCATTTGGGATGAAAGTTTTTATCTTGTTTCCCCCCGTCTTATATCAGTGTTCTCATGTAATATTTGTTCTTTCATGATCTGCTAATTTCATTTAGCATACTGTTCTCCAGACACATTGATGTCATGAGGTGCTTCATTTGTCTTTGTTTTCTTTAGCAATGCATAGTATAGTATTACTTACTTGCTCTTCTACTGATGGGCATTTTGATTGTTTGTCTTCTTGCTGTTGTGAAAAGCACTGTAATGAACATGGTGTGCATACATCTGTCCGTGTTTTGACTCTTACTTCTTTAGGATTATACCCAGCAGAGGGACTGCTGGATTGTATAGCATTTCTATTCTCAGTTGTTTGAGGTAGTGCCATATCACTTTCCTCAGTGGTTGTACATACTTATATACGTACGAGTCCCAGCAGTAGGGTATGAGGATTCCAGTCTCTTCAGCATTTGTTATTGTCTTTGTGTGTGTTTTAACTTAGTTGTCATTGTCACTGGAATGTAGTATCTCATCATGGCTTTTATTTGCATCTCCTGGTCGGATAGTGATTGTGAGCACTTACTCACCTTTGTTGGCCATTTGGATGTAATTTTCAGTGAAGTAGCTGTTCATTTCCTTTGCTTATTTCCCCCCACCCACCCTACCCGCAGTACATGGATAGTTTAATTCACCAATAACTGAGGTAAATTCAGTCATTCAGTTTTGGTCAAACAGGTTGTAAAAATTTCGGTTACTTTTTTCCATTCATTAAAA